ATTAACTGCACTAGATGCATATATGCAGAATGGAAATCAAACTACCCAAATAAATTACGCGCCTACGCAACATATTGGAATTTTGATAACGCGTAAATACATTTTTTTTCGTTTTTTTATTGTTTTTTTTTCTCTAATGTCAAATTTATATTTACATCCATATGTAAAAAATGCAAACTGAAAATTTAACAATTTAAACTGCTTTTTGAAAATAATTTTGAATTTTACGAAACTAAAATTTTTGACAACAAAAATATCAGATAACTTGGTGTTCAATTCTGTCACCTTACGCGCATATACGTATTTAGTACGTGTCCTACGGTGCCATTTAGGTATATCACTGAAAAGTGAAAAAATAGACAAAATGTCAATACCTATAGTAGACATTCATGACATATTACGAAAAATTTTGTTGACACATTATATATTCATAACAATTAAGGCCATTATATTTATTGTTAAGATTATTTATAGATTCTATATAAATTAGTGAAATGAAAACCTACAACTTATATATTCAATTTAATATTCAATAAAATTAATCTTTATAATAAAAATTCAATACTTCCGGAATTTTCATTATTAGTTTATCTTATACAAATTTTAAAGTTTAAATTTTTAATTCATAATATATAGAAAAATTTTTCTAATTACGCAAATTACGTGTATATTGTCAAGTTCATTAAAATCTTAATTTCGATAATTCATTTCGCGTAAAGAAGAACTTGAATTTGTTTCGGATTTTATTTTTATTTTCATTTATATTATAAATATCTATGTATATAGAAACAATGCAAAATTTATTCGTGCATACCATAATATTAAATTTTATTTGAAAAAAAATTACTACTGTATGAAAATAAAATTTCCTAATATAATCACGGTTTTCATTATACTATTTTGTATACTGAAAAGTATATTTTAGTTAAATAATAAATAATTTTTGTGTTTCTTTCTTTCAATTATAATTATAATTTTTATATTCAACGTGTAAAAATTTTTATTTTATATAAAACCTATAATCTTTCATGAAATTGTTAATTAAAGTTTCTATATATATTACCAATGCAATGCGATTACAAGTGAAGTTAATTTTAAATATATACGAGTAATAATTATAGTTTTAATTTATAATATAAGAAGATGCTATATATCATTAAAATAATAAATTTTCATGAATTTTCAAAATGTATATATATTATTAAAAATGCTCATGTAACTATAGTTAACCTTACTGCATTTTTAAATATTCTATGTATTGTTGTATACATTATATCATATCTAATTTGAAAATAAATGTAAATTTGTACAGTTTATAAATAAAACAAAATACATAATTAATTATGATAAATTATTCACACTTTAAGAGTTATTTTTAAAAGTGTGAGAGGATATTAAATTAACACTGTTATCATAAATTTCAAAAATTTTCTGCATAGCAAGGTGCGTATCAATATATGTATACGTATGATTTTCTAAACATAGAATTAAATTTTGCATTGTTGCCAGTAAGTATTATTTGAATATATTATGTTTATATTTGAAATTTTATTTAATTTATTGCTAAGCATAAAAATATTTAACTCAAACTTTTAAAGCATTTTAAAAGTTTACCACATTTGTGGTAGGTATACATAAATAAAATTATTTCTATGCATTTGTCAGACATTTAAATTAAAAGCAGATCAATAATTGTAGTATACAGAGAATTTGACATAATATATGTATGAAGAAATGAGAATACACAGAGTTAGAATACATAACTTTGCATATACAACAATAATTGTTTAGGGAGAACAGGTTTTTTTAGTTACGTTGTAATTTATTTGCGTACAATATAAGAACTATGATGACATTTTACATTTAATTGTCAAATATATTGTAAATCTTATTTATACCCTCAATCATGTCAAAAATTACATCATCTAAATTAGCATTTTATTGCTATATTTTCTCGTTTTTAATTTTTTTTTATTTATCACTTGTATTTCAGATACAATTTTGTAATTAATTGACAAATTAATAGAAATTTTTTAAATTTTAATATAGTGGACCTTAAGATGCTTCCTCAAGACTAAAACATAGTCCAGAAAGCCGGTATATAAGAAGCAGATAATTAAAAATTAAATTTTAGTTGATTAATTTTGATTTATGATTTTTAAGACGTCTCTTTTTCACCAATCAAAAAAAAAAGTTATTTTCCAATGAAATTATTATAAATAGCACTGCACAATTTTACAGCAGTTTTTCTTGCAATTTTCTATTTATACGAGTATTAAAGTTAATAAATAAAAATTATTAATAAATCTGATCTTATCTACAATTAAATGCGCAAGCTTATGAATTTCTGATTAAAAAAATTTTTGTTTTTTCTTTGATGGAAAAACCCCGTTGAATTATTTTAATAATTTTCACTTTTAGAGCAAAAGTTTGCTATGTATACCTAATTAGTGTCACGAAATGTTTAACTTTTATTTTTCACTCAAAATTCACATAAATAATTTTTCATGTGTTTTGAAATTGAATTTAATAAAAATAATGAGTTCGATAGGAAATGTATAAGAAACAATTTCATTAAATAATTTCAGCGTTTTTAAATATTTATCTAAAATTTAAATAAAATTGTATGAGAACAAATATGCATTTACACTTTGCATAATATTATGTTAAAAACTGAAATTAATTGTATTTCCCATAATTTTACATATTTGCTACAACATCCTATTCATTTATATTATAATTTTATTTTGAATATTAATTAATTACTATAAACGATCGACTTTAAAAGATTATTATAAAATTACTTGTCCGTTTATAATGGTTATCAATTAAAGTACTATTTGTTTTTAAGTTATATTTTTTCGATATAATCGTTCGATTCTGCTGCTTTTCCGTATAACAATAATTGAATACCATATTCAAGACTTAAACTATTTGCAGAGAGAAAATTTAAATAATCACACGCTATACAGCAGAAAAATAAGCGACAAGAGCGCCTGTCTCTTACAAGGGTACTCATAAAAATTATTTAGTAAGCTACAATTCAACAAACATAATCTTATAACTAAGGAACTAAACAATATCAATATTTCACTACTCCTAAAATGTACCTATTTTAAATAAACTTGGATTGTATTTCGGACATTATGGATTTTTATTACAATTTCTCACGTAAATCTTATGCGTTTTTTACTATTCAATTTATTTTAAAATTTCAAAGTTAAAATTATTATTTTTGTTAATTTTTTTTTCCATAATTTTAAATAGATTTCTGAAAACAAAATTTTTCTAAATATGAATTATTTTATATAATTTGCTTAAAAGAATATTTTTCGCTGTTCGTTTGTTACAAATCAAAATTTTTTTTTAACTTTCATTTTCTACTGTTGTGTTTCTTATTTTACTGCCATATTAGCACATAATATAGACGTGATTCTACATTAAAATTTTTCTTTTGTAAATATTTAAAATTTTAAATATGGTATTAAATTATTATACGTGAGAGGAGTTAAGTTCTATATTTTAGCACAATTGATATTGAATTGCAATAAATTTAAGTAAAATTCGCCTGTCTAGAGCGCAACTATTCTAAGTCACAATTTGTTAATTGTTCATGAAAACAAATTAAAGGTCGAAATTTAATTTCTATTCAAATTAAAGGGAAGTAGCTTATACGATAAAGAGTAGTTGTATTCGGTTTTGATAACAATCCTATGTCCACATAAATAAAATATATGTGCGAGCATAGGATTATAATACATTCTGCGTTTAGCGTGTAGATCAAAATTCAAAATCTTTATATGTACTTTGAATTCATTTTGTAATACAAATAATTCCTGAATCTGAATACTAACTTGTATTGAAAGAAAATAATAATAATAGTTATTCAAAAACAAAAACACAAACATAATAAAAAAAAATAAGAGAGCTTTCAATTTTTTTTTTTTAATTTTTTACTTCTCCTAGTAGCTAGCTGCTCATTTTTATATTTTTACTTTTTTTTTACTATTATGAAGTTTCGGTTGAATAAGCTCATCTTTTTAATTTAATACTCGCTTATTAGTTTATTCTCGACAATCTATCAAATTGATCATAGCATTTGAATTAAAAGCTACTTAAAATTAAACACAGTAATCCGAGAGAAATTAAATATATAAAAAAAAAAATTATAAAAAATCATAAGAAATAAAATATTTTTTATATAATTGAAAATTTTTAATTACGATATTTCTATAGTTATCTAAAATGTTATATAATACGGTAGTGAATTTCGATGAATGAAAACTTTTATTGCAAACGCAAAAACGCATTTATTTTTAAAAGAAATTATCGAAAAACAAAGTGTTAATTAATTTAATTTTAATTTGAATTTGAAAATTGTAATCCAATATTAAATGTGCGAAATAAAATTATTTTTTAATAATTTTATTTAATTAAAAAAAATTCAATAATTTTTCTATAAAGAAAATTCAAAATTACTCCTGTGATTTTTTTTTTTATAATTTTTGACACGGAAAAATTTATTTAATATTTTTTTCTTATTTTTTTTTTAATTAACACCATAAAATTTATTTATTAATTAAATTTATGCGTAAATTTTGGAAGACAAAGTTGAAAAAGTTGGAAATTGTGCGTATAACAGTAACAAAAAAAAAAATAAAATTCTTTTTTAAATTTTTGGACGTCAGCCTTTAAATTTGGTTGTGGAATTATTTGTGAAATAAAAATTAAATTATAAAATTTAATAATTTGTTATATTAAAAACTAAATTTGCACAGAAAGGTACGATTCACACATAAACTAAAGTGTTGTAACAGTAAAATTGCGTGCAATTAAAAAGTATTTACATAAAAATTTTCCTTACATTTTTTAATGCTTTAATTTTTTCGGATAAATTAATTTTTAATAAATTCATTTCCTTTTTCATATTAATTGCAATTTGCCGATTTTGTTATTTAAAATTAAAAAAAAAAAAAAGAAAAAATTAAAAAAAAAAATAAAAAATTTTTTCTCATGAAAGTGAAAATTTTTTTTAATTAATTTTTGAAAAATTATTTAAGATATAATTAAAAAAAAAGTGAAATTAAAAAAAATTCAAACACGATAAATTTTACAGTGCTTTGATTACAAGTACAACTGTATGTATACATACATATATAGTGAGTGATGTGCTTTAATTATTTTTCATAACGATGCAACAAAATAAAAAATTAAAATCAAAAAAATTAAAATTTGAAAAGCGATGGAGAAATCATATTTGTTTTTAATTCGCTTCACTTTAATACTTTTAGTAGATATTTATTTAAAATGTAAGTATAAAAGAAAAAAAACAATGTTTTTTTTTGTTATATGAAAACTGTTCCAATATTTGAGTTTTTATCTGCAACGAGACAGTGATGCCATGCATGTTCAAATGTAATTTACTGGTTGGAAAATATCACATGACTTCACTTTATATTGATACGAGTATTATAAAGAGATTAATGAAACAGGTCGTAAAGAATTAAAATTGTTATACTCGTAAGATGTGATTAGTATTTAAGCTGAGCAAGCAATTATAATTAAAGAAGTCTACTAAAGATATAATTTTTTCTCTGCATTATAATTAAAGATACTCTACTGTATACATATATAGTTTTTGCATTTCTTTACCGTCTATTAAGTTTCAACTAGCTCCGGCTTAAAATATTTGATGTAGCAAACTAAAGGTCAGATATCGAGAGATTATTAAGCTGGTTCTTAAGATTCTGGTTCTTAAGATTTTCTCTAACTGTTAGTTAATATTTCTTGTATTTCTATAACATTCGAGTCCTAGAGAAATTAATGACAAAATTTTAATCTTTATCAAAGAAATTCCTTTATGTTTTATAAAGTAAAGTTCCAACTTAAAGAGCTTCTAAATAAAGTTTAACGGGTAGAAATATGTTTGATTATTATTAATTAAATCTATGGATGTTTGGTAGATGCTTGAGAAATTAATTAAATCTATTAAAATTGATTACGTCACTGAAAAATTTGACGTTTCCTAGAATTGAAAAGTATAATCTCATAACATATGAGTTCACCAAAATGAAATTATTTTCCGAAGTATTCATACATATCTTCCATTAGCCACGTTTTTTCTAAAGCATAGATTTGAGTATGTTATATGCCAGTGTTTATAGATGTTAAAGAAAAAGTTCTTTTTCTGACATTTTGAAGCCATATAGCATAAGCCATATGGAACGAAAACATCCTTAATATTAAGTGAAAAATTTATGATATTGCTTTAGAAAAACTATACATAGATGGCCAATAAAAATAATTCAATAAATTTTTTATTTAAAAAGAGTTGTGTACAGAAAATTTTAAAAAAAGTCCCAGCAGTCTTGTTCTTAGTTAAAACAAAAATTAAAAAAAAATGCTAGAAAACAGCCTCTTTAGTATATGGTAACATTTTAAGCAGTTACTCCTGATATCTTCATTTTTATTGAAAATTAATAATTATAAATTGTATTATGCCCATTTATTTACTTTAAATAACCCACAACAAATTTTAAAACAGTATGCATTTATCTATAAATTTGCCGGCATTTCCCTTATACGTTTACCTAACCTAATTACTTACCTAGAATTTACCTAACCTAAGCTAGGTTGACGCGGCCATTCAATGATTCACCCAATTCACTTGGGCCCGATATGATGCATCATGATCTCAATATCCCCACCCTCACGTGAACCAACCGGAGTCCTATATAAATCGGTTTAGGTCCATAGCATTTAATTCGCAGAAAGAAATGTGATTTCCCTTCGAGAATATAAATTCATTTAACCATATAAAGTCTTTAAAAAATTTGAATAGCTGAGGCCGAAAATTCGTAAATCTCTCTCTTATAACTTTCTCACTTTAAATACTCTCAATTTTGTTATAATTTTAGTACTAATTATTGTACAAAATCAATTATCATTAATACCAAAATAAAAGGTCATTTAAAAAAAAAAATTTAAGTACATTTTTTTTTTGGAATTATTATTTAAAAACGACCTTGACAATGATCATTACGTTTTTTACAAAGTTTTTGCTTAACAGGGAATATTGTACACATGTACACTGTACCTAGATACAGACGTACATACGTAAGTATGCGAATTACCATAATTATTATTAAAGTTTCATTTTGTATTATTGAATTTTGCTGTTTTTCTTTTTTTAAAAATTTGTTTGTACTAAAATCGTTATATTGTCAACAAAACAGCACGATCGAGTATGACAACATGCAATCTACATATATGACATAAAATTATTTTAGAATTTACTCATCATGAATTAAATGTCTTTATAATACAAAAGCAAAAAGAGCTCATCATAAATTCTAATATTGTGATTTAATAATGGAAAAGTCCATAATATTTAATAATTAATTTAATAATAAATATTTACAATTTTAAATCGTGATTCTCTAAATACAAAATCTATATATATTTAAGTTGAGTTTAAGTTTAAAGATAAATATGTGAGAGCAAGTATTTGGACATACTTCATGTATAATTTTAAAATAAAATTAGAAATGGTTCAGTGATTTAAGATTCTGCAAAAGAATTTAAAATTTTGTTTTTAAAGAATACAAAAATAAACTCAAAAATTTAAAATTAAATATTTTTAAATCAATTATAATGTTTGCATTAACAATATACATGAATAAGTACTTTGTAGAGCAAATAATTTCGATTGAGCATACATAAAATTTTGAAGGTAAACCAATCAGAATTGTTACTTTTTTAAATTTGTCCGAAAATTATGAGAATCTAAAATTTGATATAGAGTTACGAATTTCGGGTAGCGTCAACGAGTTTCGAGCGATTTACGAATTTCGGGCGGTGTATGGAGGTGAAATAAACTGTTCTTCCCATAAAATATTTAGTGTCAGAATTTCAGAATTCCAGAACTTGTAAGACAGTTCAATCTAGTTAGATGCAAATCTTAAAATTTAAAAAAGTGTGTTTTAGCTAAAGGTTACTTTTGACGGCCATTTTCCCTCTTTTAAGTTTATTTGACTCGTGTCTCAGTAGAAGAAGCATGTCGCTAACTTTTTGGTTTCGTTCTAAAAAATGGCATATTAGATAAAAATTTCCATCAATCGAAATAAATTTCTACTAAAGATCTGTGTATAAAAGATAAGCTTTCTATACCAAAGACGGACAAACTAATAAAATAAGTATGTGCATCATTCTGCGTAAAACTAATTCATATTCCTTTGAAATAAACTGACAATAAATTAAAAATCTTAAGAACAATTGAACCATAAAAATGAGAAAAAAGCAATAATTTATCTCTCGGGAAAATTGCCGAATTTTGATTACCAATCATTACCAAACAACAAATTCCAAAGAAAAGAGATAACAAGAAGCAACAGAAAATGAGATTTTTCTCCATATTTTCGAGTCATTCCTCTCTTTTTTCTTAGTTTCTTAGTAAATAACACTCAACTCATCTGAGTACACAAACTCTTCTTTTGCAAAAATTAAACTGGCAGCTCAATTGGTATGAAAAGCAGAAACTTGGTAGTTTTCTAAATTTACAATAGCTTTCCAAATTCAAACTTTATTAAAGATTCCATTAAATTTTTTCACAAGTTTGTTACACACAAACTCTATACATACATACGCATCTTTGCTCGTCATAACAATTTTATAGATTTGACAAAGGGCAGGAGGGTAGTGCTTTTATAACTTTGTTTTTATATTTTGTTTATTTTGTTTTTTTTCCATATTTCTTTATTAAACATTTTTTTGTAGACACTTTTTAACTTTAATGGCATTTAAAGCATATGTAATAGTTATTTAATTAACACCTTTATTTTTAAATAAACATACATACACACTTAAATGGTTACTTTGTGAGTAAATATTTAAAGATTCTCTTATGTGAATAATTATGTGATTATATGAAGAATTTACGAGCATATTAAAAAAAAATCTATTATTGGAGCAAAAAAACAGAAAAAGAATGAAAGAAAAATCTCATAATAAATTTGACATTTTTGTTTTTTTTTTACCGAATTTTAACAAAGACCACTTCCTGTAATCAATTCCGTTGACATAAGTTAAAAGTATTTATTAAAAACAATTCATTTTTGATTTTGTGTATATAAGGTTTAATATAATATAATAGTATATAGTGTGTTGATATACCCATGGAAGGTTGTGTGTTAAGTATAGATAATGTCTTAGTAGTCATCTATTTTTAGTTGTTTAGCTTAGAAGAGAGTGGAATTCGCTCACATTAAACTTCAATCAATTACAATTTCTAGATTATTGTTTATAATATCAATAACAAATCATTATTAATAAACCATAACAACAAAATAAAAGTTATTATTTATGAAGACGGTAAGGTCGGTCGGTGAAATAAACAGCATAGATAATTAATTACATTTTACTATATAGCAGCAAAATACAACACTTGATAGTACACAACTAAATATTCAAATTTCTGAAAAATCCGGTCCTAAAAAGTCTATTACCAAAAGTGAAGAGAAGAGTGTGAATTTAATAAACACAACATCATAAACTAATTGGATCGCTTATGCTAAAGTCGATAATATAGTCAACTGATAAATAAAATACTCTACGGAAAAACCCCGGAGAATTGATTAAAAATAACTCATTTTCAAGCGATCAAGAAGATAATAAATAAGAAATAAGTTAACTTGAAAATAAGTTATCAAGTTAAATAGAAGGACAAAACAGATCCAAATAACGCGAGTCAAAGCACAAAAACTTCTCTTTTATTTTTAGATCTCCACAAAAAAATTACGAACAGAATTATTTCATGCAAAATAGAAGTCATAAAATGTCAATTTTATTCAATAATTACACAAAAAGCGAACCCCGCTAAGTCAGTAACCGTAAAAGCGAAAACGAGACCTTAACACTATTTTAATAATTCCTATACTTACCTTTATTACTATGTACACAATTTATTTTTACAATTTATTAACTGGTTTTAGTAGGTATTCCAACATCTAAAATGTTTAGCAATAAAAAACTAAAAACCTTATTTTATTACATATGGCGAATTCGCTAAGTAACTTAGCGAATTTGGTAGAATAATATCATGTATGGTGAATTTGACAAAAAATTTAACGAATGAAAATATGATTTAACATTTACGCGAATTTGTCAAAAATATAAAGAATTTTATTGTATAGTAGTATGAATGTTATTACTCAATAATATACAATGCTGTCATTGTGTAAAAAAATTTATGAATAAATCCATTTGTCATACATAATATTAAACGCTAGCGAAATCTCCAGCTTAAGAGAAATCGACAAATTCGCGAATAAATGCATAATTGTTAGTTAATAGATAGTAAAATATCTCGTAAAACTATTGTGAAGGCAACACTAGATTATTAATACTAAGACTTCATTTTTATTAATTAGTGTCATCATTTTTTTTTTACTTTTTAAGAACTTTAACTTATAAACTTAAAGAGAGCCATAGTTCAATACGATAAAGTAAAAATTACCAAGATACTTAAATACTTTTAATGAATATACCGTGTAGTATGAAATTATGTATATAATATTAAAAACATATATATATATAAAGAATATCTAAACATGATTTTTTAAAATAATTTTACAAATAAAAGATAAAATAAATTTTTTTTTTTTTGAATAAATTTTATCTGTAAAATTTTTAAATTAAAATTTATTTATTAATTTTTTTTTCATTTACAAACATAATAAAACAAGATACTGATGCTGTCCTAATGAGATGCCCCTATTATCAAATAAATTTTCAAAAAATCATTGGATATCGACCTTCTCGAAGTTTTTTAACACCATTTCATTTAAATGATTTAAACAATGAAAATAATAATAGTATAAGTACAAAAACATCATTGGATCTTCTTAATCTTAATTGTTGGAAAATTTGTCATAATAATGAAGACTGTATGGGTTATGTATATTTAATGGATGAACAAAAGTGCTATGAATTTAAAAATGTAAATAAATCCATAAAATATGAAACAATACAAAAAAACATTGACCTAGTACTAGATGAAAATGCAATTTATTTTGAGAAAACATGTCTTAATGGTAAGCAAATAATAATAATTACGATAATGTTATAATGAACAATATTATTGAATCAAAGATATTAAATTAAGATAAATAAAATGCTCAATAAATAGAATTAAAAAAAAAAATGTTGATATTTAATTAAAATAATGTAGAATCACTTTACATACTTGGTAATATTTTTTCATATCGCGTATAATAATGATATTGTAGAAGCAGTCAATATAATCATTATTTGAATATTTTTGTTTTTTTAGTTCCGGATAATTGTAAGGGAAAATTTTGGCCAATAATTAAAATTCCCGGCAGTAAATTAATATATCAAGGAAAGAAAATGGTTAAATCATTAGTCACGAAGCGTGAATGTGCAGAAAGATGTATTTTTGAAACAGAATTCACTTGTTTATCGGCAACATTTACACCATCATATAAAAATAATCAGGCAAGGTTAGATTTATAATTTAAGGCGCAAAAAAAAAAATATTAAAATTTTATTATAAATATATTTTATATCTATATGTGTTCTATATCATATTATTATTATTATTATTATTATTATTCGTATATGTATTCAAATATCGTAATTTAATTGTACACCCATGTATGTAATTTAGGAATACTTATTATAGGAGTTTATACACATTTTACGAACACAAAGTAAAACTATCTTCATTAGAATAATGAAAAAAGAATTTTATTGTAATGTTTGTTAGTAATTTTTGTTATTCTCTTTCAACTATAGAGTATTTTAACCAATTGTTGTAAATGTGGATTAGGTGGTAGTATCAACATGCGTACACACTTAGTACATTTATAATTTTATTCTATTATTTCCTTGTTCCAATGTTTTTTTGTCAAATCGCTGTGTAATACATTGATGATGAGATGATTATAAAATTTGTACTAAATATATTCATCTAATTTCCTAGAAATTTTGAAAGCTTTTCTGGAACTTGTTCTGCTTATCGTCCCTCTAATATTTTCGTATAATTTTGATATTTTACATAATGCAGTATGTGGTATTCATTAGAGATAATGCCACCCGACATGGAGTTTGTTTTTATTTTCATATTATAATAATATAAGTTGAACACTATTAATTTTGGTTAGTTAGATATTCGATGTGGAACGTTGATTAGAAAAATTGGCGCCCGATATGGTGTTTCATTTGAGTTCATGGGATTTCATTGATTCATATAATATTGTAAATTGAACACATTTTTTTCAATACTTGTGGTGCTTCTAACTGAAATTAAAAGCAAGGGGAATATAAGCTCTTATATGTTTTAGATATTCAGTGTGTAATGTTCAATAGAGAAAATGGCGCCCGACAGGGAGTTTCGTTTGAATATCATATAATAACGTAAATTGAACACATTTTTTTCAATACTTGTGCACACCTCTAACTGAAATTAAAACAAAGTGAAATATAAGTTCTGATTTTTTAGTTATTCATTCGGTGTGTAATGTTCAATAGATAAAATGACGCCCGACATGGACTCTCATTTGAGTATTGCAATAATACGAAAATTGAAAACTTTTTTATTAACGAAACTCCAAACAAAATGAAATCTTTATACAATAATAATTCAGGAATAAAGTAATGCTGGCAAAACAATTCAATGCAAATAGAAAAATAATTATGACAATAATTATTTATAATAGACAAATGTGCTACTCGCATTGTAATGCGTATTAATCACTAAAATTACACGGTTTTTAAGGCATTACAAATAAAATTTCAAAATTTGAATACCGCATCTAATGAAATTAAAAAAAAAAAACAAATAAGGTGAAAAACAAAAATATCGACAAACATAGAGCATGATTATCAAATTAAAGGGAATATTAGTGTACGTGAATCAAACCATAGTGTACTGCTTACAACGTAATAACGTGCTCGTACATTTTTTATGTGCTTAATTTGTACAGTATGAAGAAGATAAATTACCTGGTGAGGTTTTCATAATAAAAAAAATATTTTTTTTTGTTTTTATTACCGGTGTTTCTTTTACATTTTAATAGATTTATGATTACATCATACAATATCGATGATTAAAAATATATTTGCAACAATTGTTTAAAGAATTGAAAAAATGAAAAAAAAAAATTAAAGACAACAGAAGTTTATTTTTTGTTCTGTCCGTCTGAAATGTGATTGTTTTGTGTGCTTACTTAATAATTTTTCTATAGTTCATCTTTAGTTCTTTCACGAATTGTTGCAATTGTTTATATTATGATATGAAAGCAATTTCGAAAATATTTACTAATATTAAAATTTATTTGCAATGAATCATTCATGGCCAAAGATCATTTTATAATAATCAATAGTTTTTTAATATTTTAATTAAAAAAAAAATGTTTTATTTGGGAGTTCAAATGAGTAAATTACAGATTATTGAAGAGAAATATAGACAAAAGAACACCTTCCCTACGACCACCAAAACCAACCATGGCTTATTGCTCTAGCCGCATAACCCACTCATCTCAAGTAAATACCCGAAGATATTTCTGAGCGAATTGAGCTCCGAGAAAGTACCGCCCAAACAATCCGAGCCTTTTGCCGACCAGAGCAGGACAGTGTCACTGAGAATGTGTACAGCTGTTTCTTCACTATTCCGCCAAATCTACAAAAAAGGGAATCCAATTTACCCAGTTTGGCAAATAGCAAGTAATAACACGAACTCGATTTTTTATCTAACCCGAATAGCTCTAAAAAAATGTGTACGTCTGTCCACCCGATCGGAAACAATTCAAACTTTCAGAAAAGAATTGTTTTCTGCCCAGAGCGGCTGCAATTGTAATTTGACCAATTTGGACAACAGGTCTGGGTAGGTGCTATACAACCCTAAAATATAATTTTGAAATAATTTTAAAACTTATTTGAATAGTTCTGTGAAATTTGGGTGGAAAGTGTCGAATTAAACCTTTAGATTAGATTGCAGAAATAAGCGACAATACACCGAGACCTGAGGGATTTATTTTGCCCCGAACTAAACCTTAAACAAAGGTGTACAAAGGTGAAGATTTAAGTAATAATTCAGTTGTCCACTGAAACGTTTTCATCTATTTTTGTTACATTCCTTTTATGCTTGAATTTGATTTAATATGATATTTTACAAGTATTTCTAAAACATAATGTAGCATATAAACAACAGTATGTAAACAAGATCAAAAAAATTATTAAATAATTGAAATTTTAATTCCTATATACTTCACGAATAGATTCAGTGATGTAATATCATCCGGTGAAATTCTTGGTAGTTGCGTATTAAATGACAAAGATAAAAATCAATCACCAGATTCATATAAATCGGGTTTAATAGATGAAGAATATATTGAAAATCAATGTGTAGCCAAACCAATTGAAAATATTAACTGTTCATATGAATTATATTCAAATAGCACGTTTATAATACCTGAAATCCGATATGATGGATTAACACAAAAACAGGTAATATTATTGAATAATATGAAAATTAAAATATTTTTTTTTTTTTAATTATTTATTATATAAGCATAATAATAAACTGAATCACCATAATATTAAAAATATATTTATTAAAAAAAAAATTATTAAATTAACAAAATGCGGTTTTTTTTCTATATATACTTGTATAACAGTGCCAAGAAAACTGTTCAAAAGAAATTCGATTCCATTGTCAAGGTGCTTCATTTATACAATATGAAACTGATGATAGAAAATCTCAATGTTATCTTCATTCGGAAAATTTCATTTCAATTGGTTCTAAAGCTTTAAAATTAAAAGAGAATTCAATTTACTTAAGACGCGTAAATTGTCTTAACGGTAAGTAAATTTTGGTTTCTTTGTTTTTGTTTTTAATTAAAATAAAAGCTAAACTGTGCGTAAGATGTAAATGCGCCGTTGGTTAAAAGCTGTCAAATGTATCAAGATAGCTACACTAACATTAACACTTGAACACTCTTTCACTTTTCATATCAACTCAACTAATTTAATACCAATTTATATTATTTATGAACAGTTTCTGTGCAGTGCACAAATGATGAGATGGTTATAAAATTTGTAACAAGAGATTGGTTCCGAGGTAAATTATATGTGAACTCACATTCTGAGGACTGTTTTGCTGAAGGAAATGGAATGAAGTAAGTTAATATGACAAATTAAATAGCAATGTTTCTGAAACGAAGTGACTATAATGCTCAATGATTGCTTTGTAATTTCAGTACGATATTACGATTACCAATTGGAACAGAACAAAAAGAAAGTCAATGTGGAATACTTAGAGCTTATGAAGTTACTCCGTCTTATAAAAGGTACATATACAGTAAAGGTGTTTGGTATTCTTGAATATTTGTTAAAAAATTTTATTTTCAATTTTTTAGAACATTTATTTCGACATTACTTGTTGTTCAATACAATGCAAACGTTCAAACACAAGGTGATCGTATAATAAAAGTTGGCTGTATTATAACTTCAACTGATAATAAATTACCAAATGCATTAGCACTTGAAGCTGTAACTGTATCACCTCCGGAAAAAGATTTCCAAGAAACGTTAGTAAATATTTAATTTAAGATAAGCTTCTATTTCTAATAAGTTTTAATTTTTGTCTATTTTTTTTTAGGGAACGAACTCCCCGTCAAGAACAAATCTTTTTAAATACTACAACAAATCGTACAAGTGCAATATCAATGCAAATAATAGATTTAAATAAACAATTTGAAACAAATGATGTTCAAATTGGACAAAATTTAGAATTTCGTATTATTGAATCACCAATTGATAAATATTATGATTTTAAAGTATCATCATTAATAGCAAAATCAAATGGACAAATATTTCATTTAATTGATAAAAATGGTTGTCCAACAGATCCAGCAATATTTCCACAATTAGATGAAATTATTGATAATAATCGAAAAATTCTTAGAGCTAAATTTAATGCATTTAAATTTGCTGGTTCATCATTAGTTAGTTTTGATGCTGTTTTACAATTTTGTTTAATGGAATGTCCATCATCAAATTGTGAAAATCCAATTGGTACAGATTTATTAGGTAGAAGAAGAAAACGACGTGATGATATTGATAATAATGATAATGAAAATGAAAATATAGCATTTGATCAAGCGATACAAGTTCAAAATTCATTATATGTGACATCAATAGGTGAAAAAAGAAAATTAGAAGGTAATGGAACTGAATTGTTGGCCAAAATTGAAGTTCCATTAAGTTTGAATTTAAGTGTTCATGGTCAACCATTATGGGATGGTAAAGAGGGAATGGTATATGGTGATAATGGTTTAGTTATAAATCCATTAAAGCCTGGTATGTTTATTTTTTTGTTTTTATAATTTAATTACAATTAAAATTGGCTAAATAAAATTTTTGTTTTTTCGTTTTTAGAAAATACTATGTATTCGAGTCCTGGAACAATATGTATCAATACAAGTTTACTAGTCGCTTTAATCATTTTTGGAATTATCTTTCAAATTGCACTTTTATTCGGTTGCTGGTATTTAATATTAAAATATAAAAAAATTGCTGAAATGAATGAAGATCGAAAATCTTTACAAACCATACATGAGCACTTACAGTATATTGACAATAATAGAAGAGTACATTGGGGAGATAGTTCTAATTTTGCTTTTTAATTTATATTCAAATTTATTTTTTTTTTTATTAAATTTTAGAAAATGTATGTATGTATATGTGTATTTTTTAAATTAATTTGTTTATAATAAATTAAAATTACAATTTAAACTATTAACCAAAATGTTGAATTTAAAATACGTCAGAACTCATAAAAAAACAATTATTCCATATTCCATTATTTAAAATCATTTAAAATTAAAAATTTTCCAAAGTCAATTAAAATTTTAATACAAATATGTAAAATAAAAAAATTACAGAAAAAAATTTTTAAATTTTCTCGGACTTACATTTAGACTATCCTTCAGACTTAAGAGTTATAATATGAAATTTGTAAATGATAAACCTGTGAGTCTAAAGTTTGTAAGTGAGTCTAACTTTAACTAATTTTTCCTAATTTATGCATTTATTTTTACAATCTTCTAATGTTTCGAAATTATTTGCATTTCCACCGCATCCTCCATAAGTAAATTGTTCACATTGATTTGTGCATGAATTAAAAAAATATCGAGGAAATAATGCTGTACATGGTCCAGTATCTTGGTCTAAGAAACAAATTGATTTATCTGTTTTGGAAAATAAAAAAACAAAAATCTATAACTTTGTATTTAAAAAAGAAAACACCAAAAATTACCCGCACAATTGAATTTAATTAAAATTAGAGAAATTATTAGCACATTGTATAACAATTTCATTGCGAAATTTTATTTGAAAGAAAAAATCAACACCTTCAACCGAAAAATAAATATGTGCAACTCATATTATGTGTTCGCCTAACAACTCTATTTAAAGAAATATTAATTGATAAGCAGGTAACACTTAAACTTCCAATATAAACCATTTTCCATTCGTGTTTTTTTTGTGTAATAAAAAAATTTTATTTAATTACAAATAAATTTTCTTATATTGCTCAAAAACGTACATAAATTAAAACGAAAATTTTAATTATCTAGCTTAGGTTATTAGAAGGTTTTTGTAAATTTTAAAAAATTGATAAGGAAAAATTTAAAATATTTTTTACAAGAAGCACGTTTTTCCACTTGATACAAAGTAATTTGAAATTTTTTTAGATTCAATTAATTCTAGCTTTATTTTCACGTTAATTTCTGATTTAAGTCATTCTATTTATTCTACATAGTGAACATTTTTGTATATTCATGATTTAATATGGAATTCCAGTTTGGATCCAATCATCAACATAATGGTAATAAATTTATTCTTGCTTTCATAAAATTCTTCTTTCTGATTCATTTTTTGTTGGTAAATCTATGGTACTGCTTTCACATATATACAACAAAATAACTGTTATACAACAAAAAAACTGTTTACATATCAAACTAAAATTATCTCAGACTTTACGTCAAAATTAACGTCAACTAAAATTATAACCAAATTAAAAATTAGATGATTAAATTACCTGGTGAGGTTTTCATAATAAAAAAAATATTTTTTTTTGTTTTTATTACCGGTGTTTATTTTACATTTTAATAGATTTATGATTACATCATACAATATCGATGATTAAAAATATATTTGCAACAATTGTTTAAAGAATTGAAAAAATGAAAAAAAAAAATTAAAGACAACAGAAGTTTATTTTTTGTTCTGTCCGTCTGAAATGTGATTGTTTTGTGTGCTTACTTAATAATTTTTCTATAGTTCATCTTTAGTTCTTTCACGAATTGTTGCAATTGTTTATATTATGATATGAAAGCAATTTCGAAAATATTTACTAATATTAAAATTTATTTGCAATGAATCATTCATGGCCAAAGATCATTTTATAATAATCAATAGTTTTTTAATATTTTAATTAAAAAAAAAATGTTTTATTTGGGAGTTCAAATGAGTAAATTACAGATTATTGAAGAGAAATATAGACAAAAGAACACCTTCCCTACGACCACCAAAACCAACCATGGCTTATTGCTCTAGCCGCATAACCCACTCATCTCAAGTAAATACCCGAAGATATTTCTGAGCGAATTGAGCTCCGAGAAAGTACCGCCCAAACAATCCGAGCCTTTTGCCGACCAGAGCAGGACAGTGTCACTGAGAATGTGTACAGCTGTTTCTTCACTATTCCGCCAAATCTACAAAAAAGGGAATCCAATTTACCCAGTTTGGCAAATAGCAAGTAATAACACGAACTCGATTTTTTATCTAACCCGAATAGCTCTAAAAAAATGTGTACGTCTGTCCACCCGATCGGAAACAATTCAAACTTTCAGAAAAGAATTGTTTTCTGCCCAGAGCGGCTGCAATTGTAATTTGACCAATTTGGACAACAGGTCTGGGTAGGTGCTATACAACCCTAAGTTGCTAAGTTTTAAAATTAACGTCAACTAAAATTATAACCAAATTAAAAATTAGATGATTGCTGCTTAAAATTTTTTCAAAAATTATTTGTTTCCATTTTATTTTCAAAAAATCTGATACGAGTAGTAAGTCTGATGAAAAGGGAGTTATTTCTTAAAAAATCTAGCAGAAAATCTTATGGTAACTTTTGTTTACGTGACAGCTTTAGCATCAATATTTCACTACATTGCACTTTTTCTTGCTCACAAGGTTTATTGGCAAGGAAAATAGAACTTTGCAATAAATTGTGTAAGCATATAAGCATTTTAAAATTTTGATGTTCAACGAATCAAAATGCAATTAAGAATTTAAATTTTCTAAAGTCAAAAAAATGGGAGAAGATAGAAAAAAATGTAACTTTATTACGGGAAAATTTTGTGGCACAAAACCATGTTTTTCAGTCGATGTTATCCATATAATTTTTTTTTCAATAAAATAAAACTTACAATCACAATGATGTGACCACCCTATTCTTTTGAATATCAGCTTGAAAGTCTCTATTTGTCGCAGTTTCTCTTATTACTCAAATTAAATAATAAATATTTGAATGATCGAACTGAAAATATTTCGTCTCACGTAAATTGTAAATTTCGTCTCATCTCTTCCGCGTATACGTAATTATAATGTGCTTTAAATGGGACTGAACACACTAACAAAAATTGATTCTTATTTTTTTTCTCTTTATTTTCTTATTTCATGCATTTATTTTGACATTCATCTAATGTTTGGAAATTATTTGCGTTACCCTCGCATCCACCATAATAAAATGATTCACATTGACATGTACAAGGATTAAAATAATATCGAAAGAATAATGCTTTACATGGTCCAGTATCTGGTTTCAAAAAACAAATCGATTTATCTGCATTAAACAAAAAAAGATAAATCTATAATTTTGTATTTAAAAAAAAAACACCAAAAATTACCCGCACAACTCAATTTAATTAAGATCAGCGAAAATAACAGCACGTTGTAGAACAATTTCATTGCGAAACTATTTTCGGAAAAATACCGCGTTTATACGTTTAACTGTTAATTTTATTGAAAAGAATGTCAGTTATAAAATAAATACTTAAACTTTTATAATTAAATTTTTATTATGGTTTTCAATATTATTTAATAAATATGGTCATGTTTCAGAAATTGTAAAAAGTTTGATCAGGTTTTATAAAAACTCAAAAAACCGCAGTTATTTTAAAAAATTGAAAGTATTAAAAAATTCATTTTTAACGCGAAAATTTTAATTACTCAACTGGTGCTCTGTTTATGTTCTTAATTATTGATTTGGACTTAATGTCTGTATATCATTTATGTATGTTGAATATGCAAATAAGCATTGAAATAAACAGTTGTTTTATATAACAATAATAATATCTTCTTACGAGTACATTATGGTTTAATAAATTTTCTCTGTAACTTCTTTCTCAACACTCTCAAATTTTGAAAAATGTCAATTTTGCGTCTCCTATTTTTTTGATATAATAAATTCGATTGAAATTATATAAAGGCAAAAATGTGGTCGTAATCGTCTTCCTAAATAAACTAATATCGCTTTTCTAACTAAATTAATATTAGTAATGAAATTCAAGTTTTAGAAATATCTTCGTAAATGTGTTACGTACTACTTTAAGATTACTCCTAAATTTATGCAAAATTATATGATATGAGAATTAGGTTTCAATTAATCATTTTCGGTAGTCGCCCCAAAGTTGCTATAAATACCTGATTTAAGGAATTAAATTGTTAACGGAAATTGTGCCTTTTTAAAAATCATAAATCCCATTGGCTACATTATTTACTCAAAAACAAACTGTTACTGTTGAATAAAAATCATAGGTAAAAATAAAAATAATTATTTTCGCTTTGTTTTCTTATTTCATGCATTTATTTTGACATTCTACTAATGTATCGAAATTATTTTCATTACCTCCGCATCCTCCATAACTAAATCGTTCGCATTGACATGTACAAGAATTAAAATAATATCGAGTGAACGCTCCATCGCATGGTCCAGTATCCGGCTTCAAAAAACAAATGCATTTATCTGTGAGAAAAAAAAAAACATTAATCTCCTTTGTATTTTAAAAAGAAAACCCCAAAAATTACCAGCACAACTAAATTTAATTAGAATTAGCGAAATTATAAATTTCATTGCGAAGTTAAATTGGAAAAAATACCGCGTGCTTATACGTTTAACTGTTAATTTGATGAAAAAGAATGTTGGTTATAAAATAAGTACTTAAACTTTTATATGTCATACACGATTTTTATTATTAATGCGAAAATTATTTAATATGTATTTGATGTGTATGTGTATGTGTAATTGTAAAAATTTTTATAAAAACTCGAAAAATTAAAAATATCAAGACAAAAACGTTAATTATTCAATTGGTGCCTTGTTTATGCTGTAAAATTATTTACTTAGCCTTGGTGTCCGGATATTTTCTCTTCAATATGTAAATATATGAACTCAAACCGACAGCTTTTCCGAAAATATCTTTCTATCATATTCTTTTTTATTAAGTACATTCGAATTAATTAGTGCAATAATATTAACGGGATTACAATAATATCTTTAATTTTTGTAAAATTACCGGCTACGCGATAGATGCTATAGCCATAATATTAAAAAAATCAGGCAAACAAATCAAAAATAGTCATAATAAAACGTCAGAGCAATTATACTTTACAAAAATAAAAGAAAATTATTTTCTTCTGCACTTAGAAACTAAGTAATCCCTTTGTGTAATAGTATGACAACTCGAAATTATTACTCACATTTTATTTTTATATTCATTTACCATAAACCTCTACTCATTTTATAATAAAGAATGTGCACCCACTATTATTAATTAATTTTTATTTATTTTCTCTTTATTTCATTATTTTATACATTCTTTTTGACAATCTTCTAATGTTTTGAAATTATTTGCATTTCCTCCACATCCTCCATAACTAAATAGTTCACACTGACCTGTACAAGGATTAAAATAATATCGGGTAAATGCCCCATAACATGGTCCAGTATCTGGCTGCAAAAAGCAAGCTGGTTTATCTAAAAATAAAAAAAAATATATATATAAATTTTAGTTTGTATATTTTAAAAAGAAAACATTAAAAATTACCTGCACAACTGAATTTAATTAAAATTAGAGAAATTAATAGGACGTTGTATAACAGTTTCATTGTGAAATTTTGTTGGAAAATATGTATATCGTGTCCACAAGTATAACTGCAAAATAAATATAACAATATTAGTTAAAAATCAGTATATTAAGTACTTCTTATTAATTTATAAAAAAATTTTATTAATGTTTAACAACGAAAATTATTTTAATAACTGAAAATTTCTTTTATAAAGAGCTAAGTAGGTTTTTTTATACATAAGTAGGTTTTTAAATTCAATTTAGTTATAATTATATTGTACGCTTTTCATTCAGAAATCAACAACTTAAATTTCATATAACAAGTACAATTTTTCGTTTAATACAAAATTATAAGATATTTTTCATTTTAATTTTTTATAAGGTGTAATCGATAACGTAAAATTGCACCTTGAATTCTTTTGCATTTTAATCGATATTGCAGTTAACAAATTTTTAATGTTGCCAACAGCTGATATCTATATTTTGTAGTATAACCGATAATGCAAAAAACAAAAAATGTCACGTGCCAGTCACATTATAAAAATTTTTTAGCTATTTTTATAATAAAAAAAATTTCAACTGGTAATCTTTGTTCTTTTGTGCCAAATCGATAATTTTGAAGTGAGTAAATAATTTTATTTAATGAAATTTGGTTCTAAAAATATTTAACTCAAAAATAATTTGTTGTCAGTCAGTATAATCACAGCCGCTCGGATTGTCTATTTTAAAAATGATTGAAATCCATTTGCAATTTTCACAACTCATTTATTTTTCAGAGAGTGATAATTGACAATAGTTTGAATAGAAATTTATGTGTTTGATAAAAAAAAAATATACACACTTTAGAACACATAAACATTTACCCAGATTTTTGATTATTTTAAGCCGAAACGATCCAATAGTGCATTTGCATTTGAAATTAATTTAAGATCACTTTTAAAATAAACTATCAATTTATCTATGAAGAAAAGTTAATAAATTTTATATATTTTTTTAATTTCAATTAATATTTCCATAAAAATACAATAAATTTATACTTACTTTATACTGAAAACTTTAAAGATTTTTTTTTTAAACAATTTTTATTCTTAAACAATTAAAATTTGAATAAAATGAAATAAAGCAACAATCTTTATTAAATAGTAAAATGGAATCATTTTAATACGAAATTGGATAAGGATAAGGTCAATGACCAAACTATAAAACACATAAAATACACATGTAATTTATTTTAAGAATTTGTACAAATTAATTAGCTTTATTTGCACAGCAGATATTAAATTTTAAAATAGATAGCTATTTTCAAATTTTTTAATTAATTTTCAAAATATAAATGATTATTAAAAGTACCAAAAGTTTCTTGACCTTTAAGATATAGATAAAGGAACGAAATATATTTTTTAAAATTTCATCAATGAATATTAATTAGCTACAGAACATTTTACCAAACGCAATTGAGTTTCACATAAAACATTAGCAAAATTTATTAAGGGATCAATATCTGAATGAATATTATTTATGAATTTAATATCTGCGGAATTTTTATGCTTTATGTAATTTGTTTTACTCTTTAGACCTTTACTGACAATCAATATTGCTACAACAAAAAATATCTCTGGTAAAGAGAAACTTTTGTGCGTAAATACTGCAAAATGTTTTAATTCAAAAATCTATTTAGAATGATTCTAAAAAAATTCAATTTCAAATATAAGCTAACGTAGGCAATTTACAAAAATATCTTTCCTTCTTAGTTAGTTATGTATAAATAAATTCGTGAAATACAACCAATAATTATTTTATTTTTTGATATTATTTCCTTTAACAAAAACTTTTATAATATTTCGATCATCTCCAGTATAAATGAATTTTTGAATCATTTCAATGAAATTTGCTTCAGGAGATGGTGTTTCCTCTCTTGGTATTTCAATGTTAACAATTGGTAATATATCAATATCTATTAATAATGCATCAAAATCTTTTCCAACTTTAAAATTTCCAGTAACATTATCCATAGCTAAAGCTTCTGCACCAGCTAAAGTTGCTAAATAAATTGCGTTTTTGAAATTTATTACTTTATGTTTGCTATCATTAAAAGCAATATGATGAGATACTTCCATTGCTCTCAAAATTTCATTTAAAATAGAAGGGCTGTTTCCTCCAGATACATCTAAAAGTTTAAAATATTTAAAAAAATGTTATCACATCAGATATAAAAAATGAAACTGTTAATTGAATACTTATTAATAATAAATGTGCTTTTTAAATTATATATGAAATTGAAAACTTACCAGTTCCAAGACCGACTTTTATTCCTTTTGATAGAAGTCTTTGAACATTACATCTACCAGAGCCTAAATTATTGTTAGAGCTTGGACAATGGGCAATTGAAGTCTTGTTCTTAACAAATAAATTTAATTCACTGTCTTCTAAATGAACCGCATGAGCCATTATCGTCTTGTTTTGAAAATAAAAAATTCATATTATAATAGGTATATTAAGATAATAGATCTAGGATATATACATATATAAAGATAATATGTACATATGTTTATAAAACAAACATACATACATACATATATAAAAATTAAATAGGTGTTTTAGAGATAAATTAAAAATATGTCTTATAATAGATTTAGATTAGTTTTTACAGAATTTAAATTTTATTTACCTTGTCTGTCATTAATCCTGCTTCATCATAAACTTCAGAATATGTTTTTTCTCCAAACAATTCTTTGACAAATTTAATTTCATCTAAATTTTCCGATATGTGGCTCTACAAAAAAATTTTTTTTTTATAAATTTTTTTCCAAAATATCTTTTTAATCTTTTTCATATTTTACTTGTATATGAAGATTTTTTGATTTTGCAATTTCAGCTAAACTCTTCATTAAGTCCATTGAACAGCTTACAGCAAATCGTGGTGTAATAATTGGTTTGACAAGTTCATTTTTCAATTCTGTTATTTGTTTGATAAATTTTTCAGTTTCAGATATTGATTCATCTGTATTTTCTCTGAAAAATAAATTTTCAATTGATTTCTTCTGTCTATAATCTAAAGTTAGACCATAAATATCTTAATTACATGTAAAATGCAGGACAATTTTGATTTGAACATACTTTTCCAACTAATGCTCTTTGACCTTGTTTCACAGCTTCTTTTGCTAAAATTATTGTTCCATTTGTATGATTCGAACCAAAATAGGATGCAAATGTGGTTCCATTACGTATTGTTGTATTCTGTTGATGAGAATAAGAAACCCATTGTAAAAATCAAATCACTAGCATTGCACATAAATTTTATGAAAATTATAAAAATTTTTTTGGATATAAAAATCAAATTACTATTTTATTTTTTTTTGTCTAGAAAAAAAATTTATCATACAAGTAATCGCAAATTTTTAAAATGGCTAAAATGTTGGCTTTGTGGCCTCACATACGAAATGATAAAACATATAGGTAATTCTCTTATCAACTTAATACTACTTTTTTATAGAAATGTATATTGTACAATACAAATAATAAAAAATTGAAAATAATCAAAAGATAATTACATTATCTAAGTATTTATAAATAACTAATTATTAAAAATAAATTTCTTCAAAATTATTTTATATTAACACATAAGTAATTTATTATCTTTTGTAGCGCTAATTACCACAACTTTTTCATAAACTTTTGCAGCAAAAACTTCATCATTATATTTAGATTCCAAAGGAAATGTATATTTATTTAGCCAACCCAATAGCGGTAAGTCCAGTCCAAGGCCGATTTGCGGGAATTGTGGTCCATGAATGTGACAATCTTAAATTGTTATTACAAAAGTTTAAGTAAATTACAAATACATTAAAATATTTATAATCTATTTGCATGTACATACCTACAAAACCTGGCATTAAAAATTGTGTTTTACTAAGCTTTATAATTTCTACTGGTTCATTTGCATCAACATTTTCCTTCCATTTTTTCGAATCATTTCCATATGCTTTTATCTATAAATAATTAATACATTTAATTAATTTTAATATATATTGTAGTTAGAAAATGTAAAAACCTTTCCATCATCAGTTACTATGATAAATCCATCGATGAATTCATCAAAATTATCAAAAGATTGCGGATTAAAAATTTGTCCAATGAAAACTTTGCTCATTTTTTCTTTAAAATATTGCAATTAATTATAAATCTGTTGAATAAAAATTAAAAAAGATTTATTGTATGTAGGCATATATTATATGAGAACAACAAAATAATATTAAAAACTAATTGATAATTTATATTTTAATCTATAATTTAGAAATTCACTAATAATTTGTGATAAAGCCAGTTCTATATTATGTACCTATTCATACTTATATGTACATAATTTAGAATACACTTATCCACATGTAATAATTTTTTTTAGCTATTTAATAGTCGTATGTATATACACATATACTAACATGATAATATATCAATTAAAAACGCGAGAATTTTTTATATTGAAACGTGGAAAAATAAAATTGCTCACTAAATAAAACTACAATTACAGTGGCCTGCCAGTTTCATACTGAAATTAGAGTGGTATTTTTGTCAATGAAATGAAATATTGAGTAAATGAGCTTAAAATTGATAAAACTTAAAGAACTGTTATTAACGTTTAACTTTTGAGAGAGTGAAATTCTTTTCTTCAAATTTATAAAACAACAAATATTGCGTTCCCTCTTTCTTGGGGATATTTCCTGTAAAGAAAAAGAATAATTCCTTTCCTATTGTAAACAATAATATGTCTTAAGTAGTAGGACAGTTAAGTACATATTTTATGCAAGTATTTTGTATCATTTCTGATGCCGGTTAATATTGAATAATAACGTGTTTTTTTTTATAGATCTATTAGCTGTTACTGTTATTATAAAAATTAAACTACGTTTAGAAATTAAGATTTAATTAAATTTGTTAAAAATTTTGTTTTTTTAAGGAAAATAAAGCCAATTAAACAGGGGAATTGACTAATGAACATGTTTCTGCTACTTTTGTATTATAAATTCGAAAAAGTAAAAAGGTCCCCTAAAATCGAAGAAAAAATTGTATATATATATATTTATGTATATTATATTTGTGTATATACGTAGCTACATAACAATTAACAATCTTTAAATTTATTAGAGCTGCAAATTCTAATCGAAACACTTGTGCTATAACGTAATTTCAAAACTTTTACTAAAAATTTAATACAGTAACGAAATATGAATGGATTTTCGAATTGGATAGGCTAACGTAGATATTGACCTATACATATATGTAAGTATATACCGGCCAATACATAACGTAAATATGTATGTATTTCCAGCGTAAATATCAACATGAAAATATGTAGATATAAATGAACATTAAGAATAAAATTGTGAGTGAAAAGTATTGTGAGTGAATGAGAATAAGAACTAGTTATCGCGAATTATCTTTAGGAAAAGTTTACTAATATAGAAGAGGCAAAATTATTTCCAACCGTTTCGCGAAGAAAGAAATATTTGAAAAAACAAAGATTCCCATAAAAACTATTAATAGGCGTGTTATAGTAATCCTAGTTTATTTTGAAACCCTTGGTTTTTTATATTATGAAAATATTGAGAGCTATTATGCTTCTAAATTATTTAAAAATTGCTGATAAATCTTTGAAAATTATTTGCTTTTTCATTTGTAATCTTCTGTGCAATAAAAATGTAAATACCATAGTACCTCTATAGCATTTTTGTACAATTATAATGAATGTACAATTGCAAATTAAATATAATCGGAAACTGCATATTTACATAGATTCTGATATAATACAGTTACATATACATACATCGCAAATTTAAAGTGCTCTAATATGAATGCATTTTATAGAATAAAATTCATTACAAAATACAAGAAAAATATTTGACGAAAAATTCTTCACTGGTGTAGCATTTTCTATTTAAATAAAATCATTTTCGAATTAAATGGAACTTTAATTTCTGGTTATTTATATTATCACAGTGAAATTTAAGTCTTTACAAACTTTAACTTATTTCCAACAAAATGCCTTTGGAACCCTAAAGTACAAGAATATTATTGGACAATAAAAACATAATTATTAATTAGAAACCTTTTTATTATATTGCTTAGTAATTGAAATGTAAAACATTACATGTACGCTTTCTCAATTATAAATTTGAAATAGCTTGAATAAATTTCATTTGTTATATTTTTTTCAATTTTGTTAATTAAACTTGCTCGGGTATTTTCATCCCAATAGTCAATCCAATAAAATAAATTCATGATAAGCTTTCTTCCTTCAAAAATTTCTTCACATTCTGAAATTTTGACTGTTTCAATGTTTTGAATTACATTTTCTATTTGTTCTCCTAAAGATTTTAAAAATATTTCATTTTTTCGCTTTCCTAAATTAGTAAGAGTTTTAATAACTTTTACAGATATAGTTTCCTTTTTTAACATTAAAGGTAAAACATCTAAAAATGATGAAAATTCGTCTGCCCTAAAAATATAGTTTTAATGAAGCATTTTTTTTTGAACTGTTTAAAAAATTACAAACCCATAAAGAGATAACAATTGGTCATCCAATATTATATCACATAATACAGCTAAAATGGTTGCTGATAAATTTTTTGAAAGCTCCTCATTTTTGTATTTTTCTATTAAAATTTTTACCAGCTGTATGCACTTAATTTTATCAACTTTTATGAAATAGTGCCCATTACATAACAATATAGATTTTAAAGTTTTTTCAAATATTATTAGATTTTCAAATGAAACGTGTGAATTCTCAAAAACAACTATATTTCAAGAACAAATATGGATAAATATTTATATCATAAATTTAGTACAAAATTTTTCGACTTACATTGTGTGTATTGCAGAACAGCTATAGAATGATCTCGGTTTTTCATAATAGCCGACTTATAAAATTTATTGTAAAGATAAACCAATGTCAAATTTAATTTGAAACAATCTAAATCGGAAGATATTTGGTCTTTTGGAATTTTTTGTTTTCCTTTTTTTTCATATTTGTTTCCAACATCAAGTTGTTGGTACGGAAATTTCCTAAATATTTGAGATTTGAATTCAGATGCAAAAGAATTTTGAAAAAAATGTGTTAAACTAAAATCTATATTCAATTTTCGTTCACAAATTTCCACCATTTCCCATAAATATTCTAAAATAGTAAGAACAGTGTTCAGAGTGAAAGCAGCTTCAAATGATAATGACATTTCTACTCTTATTGGTGCTTCTTCGGAAAAGTTTGGCCGTACTTCCATCCAAGCTTCAAGTAATAACGGACACAAACTTTCAATATACTTCTTAGATTTTTCAACATTATCCATAGTGTCCGACCGATATTGTCCAACCGATTTATTAAATATATTAAATAAATCGAAATTAACTTTTGAAGCTGAAGTATCATAGAGTTCTAAATAAAATGTATTACTTCCCAAAAATATTTCTTTGGGTTTAGCCTGCATTCCTGACAAAGAATTTAGTTTGGAAGTCCAATCTTTAATTATTATTTGAAGTAATCTTTGCAATTTGTCTAAAATTTTACTTCTCCATTTGATTGTTGTACTTTTCCTGTCAACATTAACAGTCAACATTCTGCCAGGTTTTGAATCTATTCTTAATTTTGATATCATGTCCAGAAAATTTATAAATATTTGATTATGATGCAACATAATTAAATTTGGAACATACTTTAATAGAACATCAAGAAATAAAAGAGAATCTTCTTGAATTGAATGATTAAGATGCGACATTGAACATTTTAAATAGGACGAAATGATATTGAAAAATGGTTCTATAACATGTGATTCAAAAATTGTGAACAATTCAGTAAAAACTTTGAATGATTGCCGACGGATTTCTTTCTCTATATCTAAAGATAACATAGATAAACCATGTATAATTTGACTTAAATTACGAAAGATTTCATCAGAATTATATGAAAGACATTCTCTTAAATTATTCAAAGCTTCGGTGCGAAATGAAACATTGTGATGCTTAAGACGTGACAGAACGTCCTGGAATATGTAAAAATGTTAAAATAAGCTTGTAAAAAGATAATTAGATTACTTACTTTGATATCATGTCTTTTCTTTCCAGTTTCAAATTTTTGCTCCTGTAATTGTTCTCTTAAAATTATTTTCTTTACTTTGAATTCAGTTTTAGTTATATTTAAGCCTTTTGGTAATTTAGCACCCTTTAATTTAACTTTTGCTTTTTCAGATCGCAAAAATTTTTTATGTTTTCCACCCATTTTTATTTTTTCTTGTTAAAAATAAAATGCTATTGCTATTTACTTACTAATTGTTGCAGTAATCAAAGTAGCACGTGCTTATTCCAATACTTAGTGTTGATTAGTTGATTATTTTTTGTGAATGTTATTTTATAACTACACTTCTTTTAAGTAATATTAATTTTTTCAACTCCTCAAGTATGCGAGTAACATGCAAGTGTAATTTATATTGAACTCATTTAATATGAAATTAAGTAGAAAAGGCTAATAAATTAATATTTTTCTTATAAGCATTATAAACATCAAGAATAGCATATAGCGCACAATATGAGTGTAGAAAAACTACATTTCTAAATTATCGCCATCACTTATGAAACTTGATACAAAACAGCTGATATTATTTTGACTTTGTTTTTGTTATAAATATTAAAATTTTATTTTCGATTCAGAAAACATAAACTTGTTTCAAATATAATTTAAAATTCTATTTATTTTAAATTTAATAATTTTACAAAACAACTTTCATATAATAGTAACATTGAAAACCAGCAATACGGATTGATCAGTAAACGAGTTTCATTGCTTTTTTTCCATTGATTCTAATGCTTTTAGAATCTCTTGATCCTTTTTTTCTCGAAGAGCTCGAATGGTATCCTCAATTTCTTTCCTATGGCTTTTATTTTCTGGTGGATACAGTTCCCTTTTAGTTTTTGTAACCCACTCTTCAAAATAGGCTGGTTGATTAAAAATGTGAAATAGTGCTACTGGGAAAGTCATATACATAGCCATTTTACCCACTTCTAATGCCCATCCACCCATGTTAAGACAATTTTTAGCTATTTCTATTATTTGTGGGTTAATAGTTTGATTCTTATTCTTATCCGTAAATTTATGTAACACTATTGTAAATAATGTAAATTGTACCACTTATTATGATTTGTTTTGTATTTGTAAGAAGTATTTTTGTAAACAATGTTACAAACTTGTCAATTTTGAAGTTTTGAGTTTGATAATTCTAATAGGTCGGAATGAAATCTATTTTGCTTGCGTTGTATGCCGTAAGGTGAATATATTTTTTATTAACCTTTCATAGTCTTGCAAGTCTACTCGAAACCGGATATTAACAACTTAATATAAAATAATTATACTGCAAAATAAATGCGAAATATTATAGTGAACCTTCTTACTTTTGCGATAATTCTTATAATGAACCTCTACAAGAAAGTCAAATTGCTGGGTTATATACTGCAAACCAAAGTAGAAATGAATAATAGTTGGTAATAAACATTAAAAAATATTATCGAATTTTATATTTTGTAATAGATCGTCGGTTTAGTGTATCGTCAAACCGACGATAGTTTAAATACTGCTGAAAAAATCTGTCTGGAATTCTACAAGGGTTCTGTGGAAATTACAAAAATAACAGATTGATTTAATTTGAAATTTGTTTTCGTTTAACTTGAAACTTTTACGCCAAAGCAAACATTTGAATACCTGTGTTTACACCATTAAACTAATTTTGTGATATTTGTAAAGTTAAAATGAAATGTATTTCAAATATCGATGCAATAGTCGTTTTAAAACACAGCTGACGGCAACATGTACATAAATTAAAAAGTTGGGCTCAAAGCTAATGAAAAAATTAGCCAATGCAATATGTGACTGCAATTAGCTATAATGTAGATCCAGAATGATTATCCGTTCACATAAATTATAATATACATATATAAGTGATAAGTCATAAACATATTCAGGATGCAAAGGCGAACTTTAAAATTTTACAGCTACAAAAAAAAAATTACGCTGCAAAGATGAAAGTGCAAAGCAAAACGTCAAAATTGTTTTATTTCCAAATTTTGAATCTGCTGTCTGTCATATAATACGTCTTGAAGTAAAGTTGTTGTTGTTGTTTATCTATACAGAACTTTGAAACTATCAAAGTTTAAAGTACATCCTTTGCTTCACAATGACATTTAAAGTTTAAAAACAACATATGACAAATATACGTTTCTTAATTGTTTCTGAAAGAAGCATTCAAATTAGAATTTACAATTTCAGTATAAAAAATTGTTTTGACATATTTACTTCTTCATCTTTGATACCAAACTCACTTTTTTTCTCTCTTTTTGTATTTTTGGCATCGAACATCATTTTTATTAATCGATTTTGTTTATGAAATATTGTCTATTTTTGATTGCTGCAATTTTCATCCCTGATTATTCATTAAACCTTCGCTGAATTGAAAAGTCCTACAACCTATAAAGCTATCACCTATTTTTCACAAAAGTATTATATTAATATTTATTGATTAGTTACCGGCTTTGTAAATTTTTTTTAAATAAGTAAAACGTTTTTTAATTCTTTAAAGGTTGTAAAACATTCAGGTATGTTTTTTAATCCATATAAGATATTTTTAACAAAATGGCGCAGCTTGTATGATGCGATACGATTGAATTTTTATAAGGCATGGTTATTTGCTTTCTGATAGTGAGCAGCTTATTTGATATTTTGTTTAAAATTAAAAGCTATTTCTAATACTAAAACCTGTATTTCAGAATTTTTTACTAAAATATATATTAAATTTAAATGTATAAAAATAAATATGTACATACAAATGTATATATGTATATACGTGTTTAATACGTCTGTGTGCTGGAACATATAACTTCATAATGTGTCTATACATATGTACATATTTTTAATATGCAAACAAAACATACATAAAAGTTTTATACATACATATATACACTTCTGTATGTTACATTAAATGGGATGTAATTTGGGTGCGGACGCGTTACCTTTGTTAAAGATTGATACTTAATAAAAATTTTTATACTTACAAGTATAATTTAAATAAATCTTCGAATTTGTTTGGTACCTACATATATTAATAAAAATATTTTCAATTTAAAGTTTTTTCAAAGGTAAAATGACCCGTTTTATTCGTTTACGTGGTTTGCCATGGTCGGCAAATGAAGAAGACATTCTTAAGTTTTTGAGTGGAGTTAATGTGGTAGGGGGTACTAAAGGTGTCTATATGGTTACATACAAAAGTGACGGAAGAAACACTGGAGAGGCTTTTGTTGAACTAGAAAGTCCAGAAGATGAAGAAGAAGCTTTTAAACATAATAAAGAAACTATTGGACATCGCTATATAGAAAGTAAAATAACTTATTTTATTGATTTTACCGACACGTACTTACGTGAACTATAGTTTTTAGTGCTTCTAATGAAGAAGCTGAACATGCAATGAAGAAACCGAATGCTAATTCAAATGTGCTCAAATTGAGAGGCCTGCCGTATTCTATTACTGAAGAACAAATTGAGAAATTTTTTGATGGTGAGTGTATTTTTTATTTTTGAATAAATACATTATATAAAAATATTTTGTTGGGTCTTTTTATAATGTACATTTAGCGGGGCAGAATGGGAAATTATGTAAGAAATTTTCATCTAAAAACTAGAAGGATTGGTTCATTTTAATATTATATAAAATTTAATATAAGTTTGCATTGAAAAGTAATTGTTGAATATAATTATAAGAAAGTGTTCACGTTTTGGTTTGGATGCATGACTATATTAGCAATGGTTTATCCTTTTTATAGTACATATATCATTCTTGCAAAATAATCGTTTAAAGGATGAGATTTTGCTTGCGGTTTTTACGATTTAACACAAGGCAGTGTTTAGATCTTGCGTTACATTCTACAAATTTCAGTCAACTAATTATTCTGACCTTAACAGAGCGCTACCTCTATTTGGCAACAAAGTTGTCCTCAATCAATTTCTGAATAGCTTTGTGTCTTCGATGATCCATATATCCAAAAAAAAAATTTTTATGAAAAGTCTATACAATTAAATATAAAATATAATATTCATTTTATCTTTTTACTTTTGAATTTCAAAATTAATGGTTAAAATGTCTCAAAATATTTCTGTTATGAAAGGGTAAAAAAATTTGCTAATACGTTGAAGTATTTTAAAGTTATTTAAGTAATAAATACCATTTAATTTTAAATTAGCAGTAAATAACTGAAAGCAGTTCTTTTAAAAGTTTCGGAGCATTTCACATCATAATTTTCCCTGTCTAATCGCTTTTATTAACAACAGTGTCAATAAAAATTAAAATAAAAGGATATCTAGAATAAAAAAATGTAAAATTAACATTTGTAAACAAAATTAAATAAAATTTTTATTTAAATTGAAGTTATACATAAAATTTTCGTAAAATATATCGTGGGCAGGGTTGGAGATCAAACCAGACCGGGAGGGGATTCTAATTGTTATGGACAGAAGGGGTCGTGCATCTGGGGAAGCGTATGTTCAGTTTGAAACTCTGGAAGATACTGAACAAGCATTAAAGCGTAATCGGGAAAAAATTGGGCACAGGTGGGTTGGTATATTAAAAATATGTATTATTTAACCATAAAAAATATTTTGTTTCAATTTTTTACATATGCATTTGTTTTGTTAAATTCTAAAGGCATGACAGATTTTTTATGTAATATCTACTTTGGGACTTTGATTATATAAATAATTTGTGTGGCTTCTGTTGAAAATAAACAAAAAATAAAAGAAGTTAAGATATAAAAAGAAAAATAAAAATCAAATTTAGTAATTAAATTTAAGATTTGGAATTCTTATAATTTTAGGTCTTTTAGGTACACATTGGGCATCTGGCGTTATTCGTTTTTGTCTTATTTAAAAAAAATATATATATATAATTGTAACATTAGTCTTAAGAAAATATGAACATCATAATAATTTTTTCAACATTCTAAATTTTCAATTGTTTTAAAAAGAAATGCATTATTTTATTTAGGTACATTGAAATATTCCGAAGTTCTATTGGCGAGATGCGGCGACAATCTGGGTCAAGATCTGGTCCATATGACAGAAAAGATCGTGGCGGTGGTTTAAGAAATGGTCGTGATTTTGCCAGAAGTAGCCGTAACAGCGGTCCACGGGGAGGTAAATAGTTTATAATTATTTTGATGAGTAAAAATATATCTCAAAAACACTTAAAAACACTTTATTACAACCCAACATAACTGTTTTCAGGTAGTTTTAATGGAAGAGATAGCTTTGGAAGTAGCTCCTTCGGCAGTGGTGGGCGCTTCAATGATAGAGATAACGACCGCTTTGACAGTTACAACAGTTTCGGTAGTGGTGGTGGCAGCAGCGGTAACCCATTCAATCGGAATGGTAGCAGTAACAGCTTTAACAATAGCGATTTTGGTGGGTTTGGTTCTGATCGAAATGGAGGTGGAAATTCATTTGGACCGGTTGGTAGTGGCCGATCGGGCAGTCGAGATTGTGAAGGACACTGCGTGCATATGAGAGGATTGCCATATTATTGCTTTGTAAATGACGTTAATAAGGTATAAAACAAGGAATCTTAATTAAAATTTAAAAAAACTTCTTAATAAAACTTTCAGTTCTTTGATCCAATCCGTCCAAACCATGTTGAAATCATTTACAACAGCAAAGGTTTGCATAGTGGAACTGCTAAGGCATTTTTTGAAACTCATGAAGAATCACAACTAGCGATGAAAAAACATCGCAAGCAAATGGGAAATCGCTACATTGAATTGTTCTACGATGGAAAATTGAGAATGGGAAGTAGTGGAAACAGTGGTGGAAATCCACGTCGCTTGTAAATGCAGAAATCGCTGCATAAATTACCATAGGGATGAGGGCGTTTAGTTATATGAAATTCATCTCCATTATAAGTATCTGAAGGATCACTCGCTTGAAACGATTTTATATGGTTTAATTTAATTTTACTGAAATGATATAACTATTATTAACAATTCTAAAATTTAAGTGGAAATAATTTAATTCCAGAATTATCATATTAATTACTTAATAAAATATGCTATAATTTTCATAACTGATTTTGTCTGTTCTTTGTCTGCTTAGGTACGTAAATTTATATTTCCTATATAGAAAGATTTTCTCGGTATTATACATCAACTAAATTAAATCGATTGCTTAGAAGGTCCCGGGATTAGTCGATTTTTCGAGTTTGCATGATATATTGGAAAGAGAATAAAGAAATTCGATTTGATAAAAAAAGAATCTGATTATAAAAAAAAATTTTGAAAATGTGAAATTTGAAATGAAAACTTTCCAAAAAAATATGGCCAAATGGTGATATATGAAATGAGACCTTAAAATTTTGTTTTGGAATATTTTGCCTTTTTTTTGAAATTTGTGTTTAATTTACATAAAAGCATTTTAAATTATTTATTTCACGAGAAAGTGAAATAGTTTTCGAAAGGGAATCTTTGAAACTAAGTACAATTTATTGATAATTGCCTTAATTTTAAATGTTTGAACAAAAACATTTTCGCTCTCTGAAGTCTTACTTTTTTCTTTAACTTTTCCGTATCCCTACTTTGTCGGAAAAACGAGTATTTCCAAAATTTATTTGTTCGCTGGCACAGCTAACATCGATTCCTTTATTTTAGGGGTTGCAAATTTAATTTTACTGATTATGTATTTCTACGGATAACAATGATACTGAGTTTTCGGCTTTTTTTTTTTAAAAGCAAAACCATTATTGTAATAAAATTCAATTCTAGTAATTCCAGTTTTAATGAATTTTCATTGAGTAATTCCGCTTTTTTTCTATTTGGCTAGGTGATTTTTTGTAAAACATGTACAAATGTATTGTAAAAGGACCGCAGAATAAATAACACGGCATTTATAACGAAAAGAAAAAAATTATTAATGTAAAATAAAGGCTTAACTTCTAATTGTATTTAAAATTAGTTATAGTTCATTAGTTTAAAATATGTGCATAATTCCATCCTAATAATAAATATACAAATAAAATTTGATTTAATTAGATTAGTTATTTTAATTTTTTTTTAAATACATAATTATAATCAGTATGCACATATTGTACGTAGTGCGAAACTCAGTTTTTCTATTTTTTTCTTAAATATGCTAGAAAAACTTTCGATGCTAGAAAATACTTAAATAATTTATAATAATTAATGTCCTTAATTGATAGGGAAAATAGTTTGGAAGCACAAACGCACACATAGGACCACAAAAACTATTCATTATACCTTCGTTTTATAATTAAATTTAGATCTTAATCACAACTGGCTATACTTCTTATGGCTTCCACAAGAAATGTTCTCCTGATTAGGTACCATTAAATTAATAAACATGAGATAATAATTATTTTTTTTCTTAAAAAAATTTATGTAATTCCGAATTTTTCAAATAATTAATTTTTTAGTTATGAACCATAGTTGTTTTGGTAATTTACATTATCGTATACCATTACAAAAAATCAATTTTTTGTATAAAATTGTTTTAAGTTATTCAAAATATTTAAAAAAAAATACCAAAAAAGACCATTATTTGTCTGGGAAGAGAATATGGGTAGTTTATTCCAGTTTTTACCAGAATAATTTTGAGTAAAATATTTATCAAATTTTTTTAACAAAAAATTATACAATAGTGTTACCATGTAGATAAATTTTATATAAAGAAATTCAGCGGATGCGCGCTTATGTGGTTGTGTTGGATGAATATTTTGTATAATGCTGAAGCATTTTTATGTTTTTCAATTGAATTTCAGATTATAAGATTAAAATGAATAGGTATCGTATAACAAATATCAATTGCTTGCTAATGGTTCTGCCAAAACAAATCGTTTTGCTATATTGAAATAATTAAATTTCTCTTCTAAATCCATTTAAATGAAAAATGAATTTAATTTGTTTAATTTACCCTAAAATATCTTATTTTAAAGTTTAGAACTATGCGATTAGGTTAACAATTTGTTTTGAGGAATTATTGCTTTTTATTCTTCGTTCAGACTAATTAATTAGGGCCCAATATAACAGAAACTGCAAAAATTTTAAAAATTTGGTTTAAAATAATTGTATTTACAATTAGTTTATTAAATCTTGTAATTTAAATATTCAGTTAGCTCACAAATCTACCTACATACATACTTACATTATTGAACACTTTTGTAATTCAATTACATAATTAATAATTTTACATTGTAATAAATAAATGCAATTCAAAAAATATAAAAAATACGACAATTGAAATTCCGTTTTCTTATTTTCATTGACATTGAAATTCGCAATATGCACTTTACTCATATTGTACATATATGTGCATACGTATATAAGAATAAATTTGCACGTATGCATGAGTAATTTAATTTATATAAAAATGCTAATTAAATAGTATTAAATAGATATTATATTTATGCATATAATAAATCATTTACATATATTGCATAATAATTTTAATTTTTTTTAGCAACACTAAATAAATCAATAATTACTTTTCATATTGGATTTTTTACATAATCAGATTTAAAAAATATTACAAGAGAATGAAAATTATAATTTAAAATTTATTAAATCAATTTGACTTACAGTTTTAGACTGTGTAAGTAATTAAATCAGAGTTTCAAATTTCAATAACTTTCCACCACTAATAATAGACTTTGCCAATAGTTTAAGCGAAATATTTTAATAGCAAAAAGAAAAAAAAAAAAAACTTGAAAGAGTGGCAACACCAACGTGGATACATATGTGTTCTTGTACATTTTTTTTAATATGGGTTAAAGCGAAGATTCAAAATTTGAAATTTTAATAATTATAGGCAATTTGTGTTACGATACAACTTTTTTTTTCAGAAAATTGCTGTACATTATCACAAGTGTACACATAAAACAAAGTGCATTTTGGACATTGTGAATTTAAAAAAGTGCGTGAATATTCTTTTTTGCAACTTTCCATTCCTTAAAAAAAATTTAGCCAGGTTTTGTTTTTTTTCCAAATATTTAGGTTTTAGATTTTTTATTGTTTTTAAAACGATATTGTGACGACTGTAATATCTTGGGCTACAATTTTCTCAAATGTCGAAATTAAGTTTGAAGTTTTGAAAGTCGCGTAGCGTGCGGTACGTAATATAAAAGTGGATTAAATTTATATAAAATTGTGTGTAGTTGTTAATAATGGAAAATGTATGCAATCATATAACATGCCAGTTACATTCCGATTGTGTATGATGACCATATTCCAATTAGTGTTTCAAAATAAAATACTAAATTAAATATGTACATTTCAATTAAAAATTAAAAAAGAAAATGAAATTAAAAATTTTCAGGTTACGATAAAAATTTATTCAAAATTCAAATAAGAAAATAATTCGTAAAAGATGAATAACCACTTATTGAGCATCCCTAATTAAAGAATTTTAATTTAATAATTAAATAAAGTAACATCAGAAAGGTTTTTCTTCAATATTTACTCATATAAATTAATATTCTACAACGATAATTTTTTTATGGCTTCTTATATAACAACGAATACAAATGCTATTATAACAACGTAATTTTGACACCTGTAGTATATACTCATTACAAAATTTGTTAAATTTTTTGCAGGTGTTCAAATTGTAATTATATTTTTTTTTCTTCTGATTTTAGAAAATCAAAAAAAAAAAGAAAAGAAAGAAGCTACAGAAGGCAGTGATTTTTTTTTAATTTGTAGAAAATTTGAAATTATTTGGTACTTTTATGTTTATAATTCGAGAAAGAATTCTTATGAAATTAAATAAATTACTTATTTATTTTTAATAATTAAAAACTGAAATTTTCAGTAAATAAGAATAGCCAATTTAATTAAATTCATACGATAATCACAATGATCGCATATGAAATCACATGGGAGGCAAGTACTCTCTATTTCAAAACTAGCTGCGATTCCTTAAATAAAATCCATTTTTGTTAAAAAGTAAAATGGTATAGCCTACGATTACCTAAACTAAAAACAAGACAGGCACATGCATAAGAAAAATAAATATTTCTTGAAAAAATCACTGAAATTTTCAGAACAACATATAGAAAGAACTCTTAAAAATATTTTCTACAGTATGTCGCTCGACTATATATTTGATATGTTTTGTTTTAAATCCTCCTGGAATATATAATATGTATATTATGAAAAACTTATGTTTTTCCGAGCCTGAGCTTTAACCAAGTCGATTTTCGAAATATCCTTGAACAATAGTTTTAGAACTTTCTCAGACCTTTTTAAAGGTACCCCATTATGATTATATTTAATATAGAAAATCTCAAGGTCTATTTCAAATTTTTTTAAAGAAAACGACTTTGAAGGTCTATTTCGAATTCTATAAATTAATATAAATTTTATCGACTATACAAATTTCTTAGAGTTCACCAGTATTTTACAACATTATAATATTCTAATTGAGCTGATATTCTTATATTTCCAAGAATTGTGTAAGGCTAGTGTATACGCGTTTAGATACCTATGCCTAACCTACCATTGATTCAAATAGGATTGTATGTAAAATATTTTTACGACAATGTCATCACAATAAATTTTTTTCATCAACATTATATATGCTCATTCAATATTTTTTTAACCCTGTAATACGAGTAACATAGTATGTATATATAATTATGTAGGTATATTCTTATATAATACAATAAACATACTTATTTTATACGCACGTCATAATATACGTAAAATATTTTTAAACAGACGAGACGACATACCACAAAATTATATATGTATATTGTTAATTTGTAATTACGTTATCAATTTCTTAGAATGCCCCAAAACAAATAATTCTGAAATTTTGTTTTTTATTCAAAAATTATGGGGAGAATATTTTAATTTCTTTTTTTACCAACTTAATTTTAAAAAGGTATATAATATGATTTCATCGTCCTTTTAACAATTTGCCTACATACATAATACGCAAATGTACTCAAATACATACAAATAACAAATATTTTATACATATGTACAAATGTATGTATATCTATTATTAAGAGCAGATATTATATACCTGCATATGTATATTGTACCTGTATTAATCG